AGGATGCCATTAGGTAAACTTGAAACCATTTTTATTTATTTAAAAAATTATTAACAAGATTCTGTATACCAAATTTTGACTCCTATCATGTGGATGAGAGTATCAATGAGAGAGTTTGCATAAAAGAAGATATTGAAGGGCCAAAAGTGCATACTAGGGGATGCCATAAGGTATTTAAATGCTAATTAGCCTAATTTAAAAATAGTTGTCTTATGGTTCTTGATCCGGAAGGGACATCATTTGATATGCCCGATGTATTTGGCTAATAAAGAAATATAAATTTTATCCGAACATCCATATATAGTTAATTGATTTATACCATTCACAAGAGGCGATTAAGATTAATTTGGAAATTTAACCATTGAACATGGTTCAAACCACTACATTCCTAGAGGGATAATTCTAATAAGACTTGTGTTCAACCATGTTATGTCACATTCAAACAATCTATCAATTGCCAAATAATCATCACATTTTATTACTCTTTTATACTCTCATTAACTATTTTATATGAATAAATATATCAACTAATAAAAATATTTATCTTAATTTGAAGGTAATGGAGAATAAATGAATAAGAGCTCAAAAGAACCAAATTCCCTTAATTTTTTACCATTCATTAAAGTCTAAGGTCCTATAAAAGCCCAAGAGATCAAGAAACAACAGGTCAACAAGTCAACAAAGAATGAAATTTTGTTAGGAACTAATCAATTGGTCAATTGGTTGGCTAATTGATTAGCCGATTGATCGTTTACTCAATCGAATAACCAATCGATTGGCTAATATATTAGCCAACCGATTGGCCAATCAATTAGTTCATAACAAAATCAAGTAATGGTTGAGATTTATTTCTTGGTGCTCAAAGCTAATACAATGGTTTTTGTTGATTGCAATAGGCAATAAATAGGAGGGGTTTTGGTGTGAAAATTTTTACAAAAACGCTATTGGGAGAGATGGTTGGTCTTAAACAGTAAGACACATCAAAATTATAACATTTTATTTGCATTAATTAATTTTCCCCCAAAATTTTAAACATTATATGTACATACACACACAGCTAACTCAAAAAAAAAAAAAAAGCGAACAATGAGCATCAATAAAAACCTAAACTCCAAAGTGATGATTTAATCTTTCTAAGCCTAAGTTGATTAAGAAACTAACCCCGAGAAGTATTTTTATACTTAATGATCTAAGCCCAATTTGATAGGGATTCATTGGCTCAAAGCTCATAACAAAGTCAAGTANGAGGTGACAATTTATTTTGCTAAATAAGCTATCAAGGGATAACTATATGGTAAGTATGGTAAGACCCACATTGTTAGTCACATTAAAAGGTGTGGACCTCATCACTATATCTCTTGATAGCTCATTTAGCAAAATGAGCCGCCACATCATACCCATCATTCTCTATTTATATTATAAAATCTCCATTTAGAGGGGAATGTTACTTTTAATTGAGAAGACCTTTTAAATTATAAATTTTTATTTACAATAAATAATTTTTTTCTCCTTTTAAATTTTCTTTTCTTCTTCTTTGTTGATGAAAATGAAGATTTTCCTTCAAAGGGTTAGCCCCTTGTAGTGTAAGTTTTCCTTTCCCCCTATTATTTTTATTTTAGAATTGCATGTTTTAGAATTTTATTTTCTTATTATATTTTTATGTTAGTAGATTATATTTATTTTTATGCTTTGTAGTGTTGATTTACTTTCATGCTCTTTTATTATTTTAGTTAGATTCCCTTTATACTCATAGTATATGTTTTTGTTCACTTATCTTTTTTTATTCTTTAGTTAGTGTAAGTTTACATTTCCCCTTTTATTTTTTGTTTTAGAATTTTATTTTCTTGTTTTTATTTTTATGTTGGTAGATTAGATTTATTTTATGCTTTGTAGTGTAGATTTATTTTCATGCTCTTTTATTTTTTGGTTAGATTCCCTTTATACTCACAATATATGTTTTTGTTTTCTTATCCTTTTTTAATTTGTAGTTAGTTTTTATTTTCTTACTTGTAGTTTAGATCTATTTTTTTGTTTGTTTATGCTTTATAGTATAGATTTTATTTCCTTTTTTTATTTTGCAAAATGAGTAACTAATTCATGTAGGAATTCTAGAATTGTATGAAACTAGTTTAATTTCTTTTATGATTTATGAATTGCACTCTTTATGATTAAATTGATCATCTTTAGGATAATCAACTAGAGAATTAATTGATAGAAGAAAATTTTGATAATCTATGCTTATCTTGAGTGGTTTGATAGGTCATCCTTATGAATTCTTGTATTATTATCTAGTTATTTATTTTTTCATGAATAAAAATTTTGCTTGGATGATAATTTGATAGATGATGCTTTCTTTTAGTGTTTTGATAATATATGCATAGTAAATCTAAAGTAAAATATGATAAAAAGAGAGTAGTTCATAAATTCTAAATAAAATTAATTAGTGAATTCAATTCAAGATTTCTTATTTGTCTACCTGTTTTACCTTCCTCTTTCTAGATTTGATTTCTCTCTTGATTTCACTTTTCTTAATTTTATTTTGTTCCCACTTCTATTTATTTTCTTGATTCTATTTCTTTTTTGCGTTTTTAGTTTCATCTTTGTTTTCTTTTCTTTTTATTTTTTCCCCTCCTTATCTCTTCTCCTCTCTTGTTTTAGTTTTTTTATTTATTTTGTGACAATTTCCTCTCTCCTCACTCTATTTCACTCCTCTTTGTCCACTCATTTCTAGAATCAAATTTAAAATTTGTAAGCACACACATTCCTTTTGGGTTTGACATCTAATTTCTATACTATAACTTGAAAGTTGTTCTCTTGTAAATTTTGTGCATGTTTCTATGCCCTTATCGCCAAACCCCACATTTTTTTCGATTATTGTGTAATTGTACATTTATGCTAATTCTAAGAGAATATGACAAAAATATATCTAAAATGGTAGCTTAGGGGGTTTGTTGTAATTAAAAGTTCGAGGGTTTCTCCCACTCTCTCTCCCCTTTACGTTGTAGAGCTCTCCCACTGTTGCTCTCTCCTTGACATTGTAGCACATAGAGTCAAGTGCAAAGAATATTGTTTATATTTTCAAGAGTAAAAGGGAAAATAAATTCAGTTGTTCACCTAATGTCAGTTCCTGTTTCACCTTTCTTTGATAGTAAATTAATCTCATTCATTTCCTTTAGAGCAGTAACCAACCCTTGAAGTGATCCTATACATATTGCTTTATAAAGCAAATTAAATATGGAGTTCGACCGCATTTTTGGGCAGCACGACAAATTGCTTTTGATCACAGCTATAACTCAAAAAAAAAAAAACACAATAAATAAATTTTTTCCAAAATTATAAACATTATATGTAATAAATAATTTGCAATAAATATTTTCTTCTAAAATTATAACATTTTATTTGCAATAACATTATAAACATTTTATTTGCAATAAATAAAATTATAACATTTTACTTACAATAAATATTTTTTTCCCATAATTATAAACATTATATGTACATATACACACACACACGCTAACTCAAAAAAAAAAAACACACACAAACAATGAGCATCAATAAAAATTTTGATATCCAAAGTGATTATTCTACCTTTCTAAGCCTAAGTTGATTGAACAATTAAGCCCAAGAAGTATTTTTATACTTAATGACCTAAGCCCAATTTGATTAGGATTCATTGGCTCAAAGCTCATAACAAAGTCATTCATGTAGCAAAATGAGCCGCCACCTCATACCCGTCATTCTCTATATATATTATAAAAACTCCATTTAGAGGGGAATGTTACTCTTAATTGAGAAGACCTTTTAAAATTATAAATTTTTATTTATAAGAAATAATTTTTTTTCTCCTTTTAAATTTTCTTTCCTTCTTCTTTGTTGATGAAAATGAAGATTTTCCTTCAAAGGGTTAGCCCCTTGTAGTGTAACTTTTCATTTCAACTTTTTATTTTTATTTTAGAATTGCATGTTTTAGAATTTTTTTTTATTTTTTTATTTTTATGTTAGTAGATTATATTTATTTTATGCTTTGTAGTGTAGATTTACTTCCATGCTCTTTTATTTTTTTAGTTAGATTCCCTTTATACTCATATTATAGGTTTTTGTTCTCTTATATTTTCTTATTTTGTAGTTAGTGTAAGTTTTCATTTTCCCGTTTTATTTTTATTTTAGAATTGCATGTTTTAGAATTTTATTTTCTTGTTTTTATTTTTATGTTGGTAGAGTAGATTTATTTTATGCTTTGTGGTGTAGATTTATTTTCATGCTCTTTTATTTTTTAGTTAGATTCCCTTTATACTCATAATATAGTTTTTTTTTGAATTTTTTTACAATCAGTTCCCTTTGGTACCCCTAAAATCAGTAAAATTAAACAAAACCTTATTTTCACTTTGGTACCCCAAAGTTCATCCGCCTCTTCACTTTGATACCCCGGAGCATTTTCCTAACACTTTGATACCTTAGAGTTGCGCTCCTATTTTACCCTGATACTCTAGATTTTTTTTTACACTTTGATATCCCAAAAGTTTTGAATCTCATACTATGATGCCTCTATCTAGGTTGTGTTAGATTTTATTGTAAATTTTGAATCACGCACGTAGCAACTAGATAAAAAGGGCCTAAATGTATCGATCTCATGCTGAGGATGTAATTTTAATTTACTCGAAAATCTCGCATAGTTCAGATGGGGGTATCAAAATGAAATGTGAGTGGGACTTTGGGTCATCATTAATGATGGTCAACTCATTATCCAATAGGAGGTGGACACCTCACTTGTCCCCCCTATTGGTTCCATATTTTGGATCCCTGTAGCAAAGCTCTTAAAGGAATACTCTGGGGTATCAAAGTGAAACGAGGTTGAAAGCAAAATTCAAAACAAGCGTTGAATTCCTCATCTCTTAATCGCAGCCCAGTTCAGATGCGGCCGGGTTAAGCCCACTTGAAGCCCACCCCCAACAAGGGGCAGCTGTTGGGCTTTTGTCTGAAGCTGAAGCGGAAGGAATCCGAGCTCTCGCCTCTCTCCGAAGGGGCGAAGAAGAGAAGGAAAGATGCGGGAAACCACAGGAGACCCACCGGTCAAAGAGACACTACTACTTCTCGAAACCACCTACCATTCTTCTTCCCTCTTTCTCTTTCTTCTTCTTCTTCTATTATTAGTTTCAGTCGCTGTATTTGATTCCTATCCCTGCTTCCTCTTACTACTTCCTGTTCAGTGGGGTGTTGATATTGTTCCCTCGGGCCTCCCACGGCGATGGCGGGAGGCAGCAACATCCATGCGAAGCTGGTAGGTGTGCTGATCCTCGTGTTATCTCTCGCAATGTTTTCGTTCGAGCCCTGACCCAATTTTTTGTCATGTTGTCTGTTGCTTAATTTTCACTTAATTTGGAGGGATTAAGTGAAATTTACCTCGTATATAACTAGTTGGAATTTATATTCTCACCCATCGATTATGTCCATGATTATGGGGACTCATTTTAATTATGGGTTATTGATTAAGCTACTACCTAGCTATGCTGCCTGTTACTTCTACCATCAACTTGTGTTTGTATCCTTTATGAATTGTGCTTGTATCAGACACCGACACTCCTTGCGTATGCACATATATTTATGCGTACTAGGTGGGATGCACATGGTTAAATATCACCATTGACTACAAGGGGTGACAGATTCCTGAAAAAATGGCAAAAGAAATCAAGATTAAGCGGAAAATAACTAAAAGTAGTGGTAGGTATAAATACCTAAATTAATATGATGTATCAGATGTCAATAACCATTTTTTAAATTAATAGGCTATTCAAAGAAATTAAACATCATATTTCTGATTAATTTAGATATAAAACTGTTATTTGTTTGGAAATTACCTAATATGGTGTGTTCATAGGATGAAGTTCATCTTATTGTACATTTAGAATTATTTGGACAATTGAAGTAGAAATACTGAAAACCTTCATTTCTTGGTTTTGCTAATAATGTTTTAAGAAAAATTGAAATAGGAGTGGAAATTGAAAAGTAACATGAATTGATGGGCAATAATACCTGATGCAATTCTAGCACATAGGTCATGGCGCACTTAACATAAAATAATGTGCATATAAAAAACATCGTGTGGTAGGTCAAGAATATATTATAGGTATGCATAGGTTATTGGGGCTTGCTTGCAAATATAAAAGGTTATGGCCTCTATAGAAATTATAGGAAAGAAAATGATTCTACCTTCACCTTATTGCTGCTTCATGTATTCAACAGCCATCCAAAAAGAATTTTTATTTAAATACTTCAGACTATCTATTTGAATATCAATACAAAATTTTGAAAATTAAATAGTTGTGATTAAAAATAATTTCTTGGATCACACCCCATTACAATTAATATAAAGCACTCTCAGATGAAAAAATATGCATACAAGCTAGTAAATAACAAATATCACCATTTGTTCAAAATGCACATTATTACTAAAGAATAACAATGAAGACAACAATGTGACATACCTATTGAAGGAGATACCTGTTGAAGGAGAAACATAGAGAGAGATGGAGGAAAAACTGCTACGAAAAGAATTGTGTAATTTATTGGTGTATATATGGGCATGCGAGATGATGTATTTTTTTCTTTATAGGAGTTTATTGTTTGCACAAGAGCTATCCAACAAATAGAGTTAACATGGAAGTTGATAACATGGGAATTACATGTTGTACAAATATATTTTTATTGATTAGGATATCTATTCTGATCCAACTTCGTGGAAATTCTATTCACGTGGAAATTCTATTAATATATGTTGTATAGCTAGACCGTTGAACGTGGACGATATAGCTTATGATCTAACTTTGTGGAAATCTGTTCACATGGGCAAGGGTGGATTTACCTTGGATGAAGTGGTGTCATGCGACACCACTTTATTTGAGCGAAGCTATTATTCTTATGAAGAGTATGTGGATGTCTAGTTATTACTTGTTATGACAACTAATATTACCTGTTCAAGTCCTAACATAATCAAGAAGAAAGATTTTTTTTGCTTAATAAAATTTGCATGCTTCTAAGTGTTAATGAAACATAATATTTTGCATGCTACAGGACATGTATTAGAAAAAAACACTCAGCTATATTATATGTATTACCCTATGAAGATAGAGGGAAGTCTAAAATAGGTGGGACTTAAATACATTCATCATGTGATAAGATAAGAAAAAGTTTGTTCTAATAAGTTGGATTCAAGTCTTTTCTAATATATACCCTATCATTTGAAGTTACTAAAGTGCAATTCTGCATTTATTAGTATTACTAATGATGCGATTATGTACCTTTTACTAAAATATGAAAATTCATCAAGACAATTATAAACTTTTTTAATTATTGGCTAAAAGGGCAATTTAGTCCCTGCACTAGGGCTTCATACTCAAATTGGCCCTTGTACTTTACTTTTCCTCAACTTGATCCCCGTATTGGGGCTTCATACTCAAATTGGTCCTCTTACTTTATTTTTCAACTTCGTTCATGTACCAGGGCTTAATAGTTAAATTGGTCCCCCTAGTTTATTTTAAATTTTAACGTTTTGAAGTAAACTACCAGTAACTTTCAACATCACACTAAATCTCCTGAGAAATTTCAAAAATCATACTTAACCTCCAATAACTTTCAAAAGCACACTAAATCCCCTATAACTTCTAGTTTTTTATATCATACTCCCCCAATAACTTTTGCAGACCCCCAAAGTTAGCATCATTACATCTAATGTGGCACATGCATCCCACGTGACTTAAAAAGATCAAAATACCCCTTAAATTATTTTAGAAAACTCTTGATGACCTTTTTATATTTTCAAGCCTAAAATTAGAAACCTCTCTTTTTTTGATTTGTTTTCCTCTTGCTCGTTCAGGTTAGGGTCCTGAACCCTAATTTTTTTTCTTTTGCTGGAATTGTCCTTGAAATGTCTTTTTATGTTGTTTTTTGTTCTAATTTATGGGGGTTATCTACATAAAGTGAAAACTTATTGGGGATTTTTGCAAGTCCAAGATTTATTTGGGATTTGGTGAGATTTGGAAGTTATTAGGGGTTTAGTATGATTTTGAAAGTTATTGGGTGGTGTAGTGTGATTTTTGAAATTTCTTGGAGGGTTTAGTTTGATGTTGAAAGTTATTAAGAGTTTTTTGCATAACACTAAAAGTTAGAAAAAAGTAAGGGCACCGATTTGAGTGTGAAGCCCAAGTATAGGTATTAAGTTGAGAAAAAAAATAAAGGAGGACCAATCTGAGTGTGAAACCCCAATATGGGGACCAAGTTGAGAAAAATGAAATATGAGGACCAATTTGAGTATGAAGCCCCATTATAGGGACCAAATTAGCCTTTTATCCCTAATTATTAAACTATATGGTGACACCACTTTTTAGAAATCCTGGATTCGCCATTGCATATGTGTATTATAGTTAGGATAGGATAATGGAAGCATATACCTATTAAAGTTTGAAATCTGTTCACATGGGATAATAGGAGCTAAAGCTTATACACATATATTAATTAGGATAGGAAAATAGAATATTATACCTGTTAATTAGGATATGATATGATAATAATGTAATATCCAATAGGATGAAGGGAATTTTTGTCCGTGGAAAGATATTCCCAAACTCACACTTTTAAAGGTAGTACGGTGTGCTGACTTATGTAATATATATTTCAATTTATCACACTCCTTATAATTGGGCGCATATTCTGCACTTTACATCCACTTTTTGATACTCTTTGAGCATGGCTCAAGGTTATTTCAATCCGTACACAGTTTAAAACTATGAATTTAAATGGTTGTTGGGTATCTAGTTCAAAAATGGGTCATTTGGGTATTTAGTTAAAAAATGAGAGGTTTTCAATTTATAATCTATATAATAAAAGAAACATATACATGTTTTATCTTGTGACACGCGAATGAAAGAATCAATATTGATATTTTGTAAATTTTTATTTCAGAGTATATGTGTGTGTATGTGTGTGTGTGTGTTTATATATATAGATGCGCGCGCGCGCAATACACACACACCGTGCGCGTGCATACGCACATGCACGCATGCACACGCACACCCACACACGCACGCGCGTGCGCTCACACACGCACACGCACGCACGCACACATGCACACGCACGCACGTCCGCACGTGCGCACGCACATGTACACGCGTTCGCACGCACACATACACACAACACACAACACACAGATAGAGTGGTGAGGCCCACACATTTTAATGTGACTCGTAAGGTGGGCCTCACCAAATGGCTATCTCTTAGTAGCTCATTTTATAAAACGAACCGCCACCTCATACCCATTATTTCCATATATATAATATCCTGTATGACTGTATTATACCATTTACAAACTTAAAATATGTGATAAACGTGTGACTGAAGATTTATAGTGATACAATTTATCTTAGCATGTACAGCTCTCTGTTTGTATTATATATACCCATCATATGTACATGAATGTTATCATGATAACTTTTGAATCTTTTCTTCATATTTCTTCTTCTTGGAGTTAAACAGTTTCCCTTTCTTATGCATGTAATCATCAAGCATGCAAAAATGTAACCAATTCTGACTTGTGGTCTCCTTTAGATGCTTTAATTGGGACTCTCATAACAAATTAGTTAATAGTCTTCTTTAAGCTTTTTTTGTATATCTCTCGAGTTTTATGATACTGTGATATACATGAGTTGATCTTTAATGGGTTCTGTTTCCACATATCTTATCGTGGGGCAGCTGCAACTATTGTTGTGTATGACATCTCGAGCAGAGTAAGTTCATTTAAAGAAATTGTTATATCTCAACCTATTGTTTACATTATTTATTGGTTAATTTTACTTCAGAGGTTTCGAAAAGAACAAACATGAGCCCTTATTAAGAAGAAGTCTAATAGCAAGCATTTCCTTGGAAGATATTAGTTAAACTGATTTTTCCTTGTTACAGAGGATGATAAGTAGCTTTGCTTATCTTAAGATTAAGATTTCAAGCTGTTGTTAATATTACATAAATCTTTCTTTAAAATTTCTAGTGAGTCAAATGGTTATTGAATCACAGTACATACCAATATTCTGTATAGTTTAAGATGGTGTCTCCTGATTTGAAATCTGAAGGTTTACAAAATTAAACATGTTATGTTCTTTATTTCAAGAAACTTTATGTGATTAGTGCATATTATGGCTAGAATTAAATAGATTGGAGAGATTAGGTTAGGCATTCAAATCCATAATTTTGGGAGGTCGGGTTAAGGAAGCCATGTCTTTGAATATAGAAGACCTTACTCAATCTGAAGAGATAGGGTAACATAAATGAGAAAGGTGAGTTGGGAGCTGAAGATATAGAGTGATTACAGTTGGAAAATAGAAACCTTAGTATCATGGTTCATGCCATTAGAGTCAGTTGAGAGGCAAGTTCATGTCTGAACCTAATTCTAAAATTAACATGGCATGCATGGGGAGTCCAGGTTTGGATGTTTGAGATGGGCTTGTAAAAAAATATTAGTGTCTTTGTTATTTAATTCACTGCTAGGGAAAGGAATGTGGTTGATATACATAAGGAGTTGTTCAAGTATGGTGTATGGAATTGTGTTGAAATAAATGGGAATAGGTTTTAGGGATGGATTTTAGCAAGTGCCCCCCACATATCACTCCGCAAGCTTCAAAAAGTCAAAATCTTTTTTCTTCTATCCTATAGTATCTTGGCTGCATTCCTCATAGTAAGAAGATAATATACGTATAAAAATGGTTATCTGTAAATCGACTTTTAAAAGTTCTCCCTTCAAGTAGAGCATAATTCTTTGGAAAAAATATATTGACTATTATATATTATGAATAAAAAGCACAAGTTATATGAGATACAACACAACATATATTCAATAGGCCTATACATTCTCTTGGTAATTTGGTTGATTAGATATTATGTATTTATTATAATAGACATAATCAGCAGATGCTATCTTATCTGTTTGGCGCTGGAGCATATACTCTTGTGCCTTCTTTTGGGTACTGCTTTTGTTAATATGAATTTTTTATATTCCTTTCTCAACACTTCAAATTAATGTCTAGTTATGCTAGGGATTGAAATGTGTTGGTTGGGGTCAGAACTTTGACCTCACTCACCATTTAGGTGAGGGATTGAAATGTGTTGGTTGGGGTCAGAACTTTGACCTCACTCACCATTTAGGTGACCCAAACATGACCTCTCTATTGACAGGTTAACCAGATTTTGAAAGGTCTGATTAGATTAAATTGAGTTTAAATAGGAAAAGGAAAGAGCTCAAACATGACCAGTATTGAACTAGCATTTTAATAATATATGTCAAAAGTAAGACTTGAACTAGCACGAAAGGCACAAATATCATTTGCCCTTGTGGGACAGACTAGTATAGTGCATGGGCATTGCTCATGTACCCACTTTCATGGTTATATGTAGATAATAAGCGTGCATTGGAATACTAATTATCTGTATGTATATAAATGTATGGTACCCACATAATACTGTTAGATATATCTTAGTTTCTCGGTTTCTCTAAACATTAATATAATTTACATAGTATTATTTAAATAATCCATGTAAACTATTAGTATTATTTAAATAATCCATGTAAACTATACTTTTTTAGTTTCTCAGTTTTTCTCTGAACCAATAAATTTTACATAGCACTTTTAGAGTTTTCATAGGTCCTCAGGCTCCCTCTAAACTAAAAAATTATACATTATACTCATACGTCCACTAACAAGGTTTAAAATGTATTGCTATGCAAGTGGTTTCATCGTCATCCACACATGTAATGAGTTTTGTGGTATCCCTCGATCCTCTCTCTGAACATACACTTATTATTATTATTCTTTTGTTATCTTCTTTTTAAGAAGTAATATGTTATTTTCTTTGTTTCACATACATTTGTATTATTATCTTAAGTTGTAATTCGTCATATAATATATCGAAACCTTAAAAGACATAAGTCAAATTTCAAATTCTAATTATTTTAATTTTTACCGTGAAAATTTTCTAAAATAAATCATATTAAAAGATGATTTAGATCAAGACAGATAAGAAACTTAAACTAAATATAAAAAAGAAATAAATTTAGCTATAAAAAGTTAGTAACTTACCATGCAAGAATATTGGTTATATGGAAAATATTTGGACCCCCTATTGGAAGCGAACCGTTGCTAGGGTTTGTCACTCTACATAACAAAAATCATTGATAATATTCTCCAAAACGGGCATAATTAAATAATAAAAATATACTAAATTTTAAAAAAAGTAATATATCATATATAGTCTGTTGGAATAACAGAAGAATTCTTGTAAAGTTTGAAAAGGAAAACTTTATTTCCTTTTCTTTTAACTTCATAGTCAAATAGTTGTTATTTTTTTCAATAAAATCTTATAAATGCTTATATGAGAATACATATGATTATCCTAATAATAGCTGCTTTTATATTCATGTATGTTAACTTCATAGAAATTAAAATAAAATGGTCAAATGCAAGTTGTCACTTATGAAAACTTTAGGGGATTTTCCCATGATTCCTTCGAAACTATAGATTTTAATTAATGTATCCTACATAATAATTAGAACATTTTTCAAAAATCCATCAAAATCATTGGTAAGATGCACGTTTTATGCAAAGAGTTGAGGTATGAAAAGTTTAATGTTAAAATGCATATCATATCTTTCAAATGCATATTATATCATTCTTCGCAAAAATGAGTTCAAAAGAAAACAACAAAAAGATCATGTAAATTTTATACATACTTTGGAGCGACATCTTTTTTGGATTCTCCATTCTGAAGTGTCCTTTGACTCTATGATATTCTCAACATGCAAATCTTTTTTCTTCTGTTGTTTTGCAATTTATTACAAGCTAATTTATATGCAAATTTCCTAATCCACATCGTCAGCTCTTTATTAGTTTCGGGTTAGCCCTTAGGCCCCATTTGGCAAAATGTTAAGAAAGATGAATTAAAGAGAAGGATTAATGTAGTTTGCCCATTCGATAACCTGAAGGACTACATTATTAATCTGTTCAATAAGTTTTATTTTAGGCCTTGTGATCAGTTTTAGTGTTTGGGAATAACGAGGATTTTAACTATTTTCTTTATAAATAAACATGTTAACTTTTAATTCTTCTAAATAGGAGTATTAGTAAACCCTTCATTTTGAGGGGTTAACTCATTTTAATCCCTTTAGAGGGGTTAGCTTAACCTTTATGTATTTTTTATATTTGGCAAATTATGGAGGGTTAACTCACTTTAACCCTTCTACAGTTTTTTTGTGTTTGGCAGGTTAGGAAAGGGTTTAGTCTCTTTAACCATTCACTTAACTCATTGCTGAACATCACCTTAAGGTAAACATGCTGAACCATAATTTCAATATTAGTTATAATTTTAAAATTAAAAATACCAACGAAGATACTTATAATTCTGGCAATTTGTTTTTAATGTCGTATCTACAATCAATGTCCATTGAATTGAAGCAATAGAAATCCAGAACTACACATTCCATTGACCTTCACTTAACTTATTATCTGATCCTCACCAAATTAACCAGGCATGAAAAGTAAAATGAATCCTTTGCCTAATACCCCTGAAGCAACCATCACTTATTACAACAACGAATACACATAGACATGACATTAAACCTGCAATTACTAATATACATCCACTAATGAAAATATAATAAGAAATATGAATGGAAGGAACCCATCACCAACTCTACCGAGCTCATCCGTCGAACCATCCACCGACTCTACCGAGCTCATCCGTCGAACCATCCACCGACTCTACCAAGCTCATCTGCCAAACCCTCCACTTGGCCCCTCTGCTTCCACCAAAACCTTCACCGCTACCACCTCAAAATCCACATGGCCCACTGCATGCCGGCTCCACCACCCGCTCCGAACCTACCACAATCACCTTTACCAGATTCGCCTCCGCCACCGTTGCCGAGCGCACTTTTGTGGCGGAACCAGGTCTTTTGATTGCCAAACCTCAGTTCCCTCGAAGTTTCTTGGATTGGCAAATCAAAGGGGAGTAGCAGAGGAGAGATAGAAGGGAGTTGAGAGGTGTTATATAGGTGGAGAATTCTGTTGGGATAGTGAATATCCTTGGACATTAGTTTGATCATTAGTGATAGTGAATTTTGTTGTGTGAATGGAAGAAGATGGGAAGGGGAGTTATATAGGAGGTGGAGTGAAAACGGATGAGACTTGAGGGGGGTCTTGTGATCCAAGGGTCTGGTGATCCATTAGTTGGAGGCACGATTTCCTTATCACAGTTAATTACTCCCTTATTGAAGAGGAATTGTGATGTTTCAGTGATCATCAATTTACTATGTATTAATATAAATTAATAAATTTATTAATATGCTTGCATGCTAATCAACATTCATAACTTGCTAGAAAAATAAAAATAAATTAATAAATTAAATATTTATTTAAAGGACTCATGACATATAATTGAATATTTATAATAATGTATATATTGCATTTACTGTAGTATTTATCATATTGAGTTTGTATGTATGTATGTATGTATGTATGTATGTATATTTATATATGTATATTTATGTGTTTTATAATGGTGAAACACAAAATTACATGGATGCACAAAACAATGTAAATGTCACTTCTATAAATTTGAGGCATTTTCGGAAGAATGTCTAAACATGCAACATGCTTTTATAGGAGTATTAGATAAGTTTATTTGAGGGCCTTTAGTAGTTGGCTTTTTTTTTTATTCTGGATTGAGCCTCGCAGAGTGTTTTTTCCCCATTTACCTTGTGCAATAAGCTGTTAATAGCTTATTGTTCTTAGTAAAAGTTCACTTTCTTCATAATATTTATATTGTTCACTATGATGGTTATTGGTGACATCTAATACGTATCATATGATATTTTTCTTTCAGGAATCATTTATTCGAGCAAAAAAATGGGTTCAAGAACTTCAGAGACAAGGTGAGTCATTATCAGATGAATACATCTACTTTTTTTGAATGTGCAGTAATCTATAATATGCCCTATCTTATACCTTGCTAATTATTGCTATTGCAATGAATCTTTCTGCATGTATTCATTGCTTTAGGAAGAGCTAGCAATAAAGTCCTTTTCCTGTGAAACAGATTGTTTCAAGCAGATTATCCGTGTATAAGGGGGTGTTTGGTTCACCTACTTTATAGAAAAGTTTTGGAAAAACACCTAACAATGCCATTATCGTGAATAATAGATTTCTGTAGATTTTTATAAACTGTGTTTGGTTCCAAAGAAATTGTTGAAATGTATTCTATAAAGTAGGGAAAAATGTATTATTTTATAGAAATCAACTTCCTCCCTAATTGGGCGGAAATTGTAAGGAAATATGTCATTTATGTTAAAATAGTAATAAAGTATACCCGTACCTCTTTTCCATAAAATTTGAAATTGCCTAGAAATTTAAAATTGCCTACATTCTTGTATGAGTTTTACTTTTCCATAAAATTTTCTTATCCAAACGAACAAAAGAAAAAGGAAAAAAAAAACCTATTTTCCTTAAAGTTAGAAACTCATTTTCATATTTTGAACCAAACAAAGAAATAGTAACAAACGAGAAAAATAGTACTTTTTGAGTTCTATAAACTTCTCCCGCAAATTTTTATGGAAATACAAGGAAACTAATTTCTTGATAATTTTCCTTTTTTTTATAGAAATCGAACCAAACAGTCCCTGGGGTGATGAACTTGTTGCACCCCAACAATGTGAGGAACAAACTTGGCAGGACTTGCCAGTTAAGGAAAACAATAATGCTAAACTGTAAATATACACAATCATACATGGAAATTTGGGTATGAGAAGGTAACACATTTTCCTAAATGAAGTACCACAAGTCAGACCCATTCTTCTAGTCACAGTGACATAGGTGGACCTCATGACTCCTTTATCTCTGGGCAGCTCATGATTAATACTCAATAGCCCATGTAGTCTCAATATACACAAACTAGCTCAATCATATTCATAGAAGATCCAAAATTTATTAGTGACATGCTAACAAATTAGTCTAATATATGCACATTATGCTTATTATCTAGTCTAACACACAAATGTTATGTTGCAACTATAGTTTTGCAAGCTCATGAATATACAGGTCTCTAAACAAGATAAAACGTCTAATCGAAATACAAAAATAAAAAACAGATTTTTTTTATTAAAGCCTAGTGAAACTGATAAACCTTGGAATTTCCAGAATGATATCCAACAATGCACATAAAATCCTTAACTCCTATTGCAGGATGAGCTATGGGTCCAGTAAGTAAGGAATCATCTTAAAGTAATATATGTAATAAAGTAGCTTGTGTCAATAGTTCATTGTTACTGTTTAATGATCTTGTTAGACGAATAAGATAAATTATTCACATACTTTTTCTTGTGAGCACTGAAGCCTATTAAGGATATTGGGGCATATGTCTTCTGTACACTGTTATTGTTCACCTGCTACATTATTTTTGTACGTTAAATCATTCTAAATTATATATATCAACTTATGTAGGTAATCCCTATTTGGTCATGGCATTGGTTGCTAACAAATCTGATTTGGAAACCAAGAGGATGGTGGACGCAGAGGTATTAACTAAATATCATTAGCTGATTCATTATACATTTAATCTTTGAACTTGTTGCTGCAGTTATTCTTTGGTACTTAGAGATCTGAAAGACATAACTAGACTGATTGGTAGTTAAACAGGAAAATCAAAATTCTCTTAGAAAGGTAAATGAATAGTGAAATTAAGTCTAACCTTGAAGAAAAATTTCCAATGCATTATATAATCATTCATTTAACTTCACCAATTATCAAAGCTGTATCTGCTTACCAATCACAGATACGGATACGAAAATGCCTTGATAAGGAGAAATTATGTCCATATCCGTTAAAATCAAATATGGATACAGATATACATGCAGATATTTAAGCATATACAGAAAACAGATATGAGAATAGCTTATAATATTGAAAAATATATAGTTCATGTGATATAAGAGAATTCATTAATACATTTGTTATCTAAAAAGCTAAGATTAGATCTCCTAGTCATCAAAATTAACGTCAAATCCATTAATCTAAGGATTAAAACTATCTAAGATTGAGGGATGCATGGTTCTTTTTTAGTTTAATTGGATAGTTTGTCATTGTATTTATCTTCTAATTGGGCCTTCATACTTAATTGCTTGGATGACTAGTCATGCAATTAAATACTAATTGGATTGTTGATCATTTCTAACGTCTTTTGTCAATTTAAGTTGTATATTTTTATTCATTTTTAAGCAATACAACTTAATCAACATGCACAACTTAATCTTTTCAAGAACTGCCAAATGTTTTTATGGGAAATGATCAATACGTTTTTTATGTCACATCATCTAAACCTATTACGTCAATTAATAGAAAGCATTAGAAGTAATTACCAATCCGATTAATGTTTAATCACACGACTAGCTATCCAAGCAATTAAAATATAGGTGTGAATGTCCAATTTAAGAATGATCTCATTTCAAATACTGGCAAACACACATATTATCTTAGTAAATAAGAATGATCTCATTAATTGCCTCCTTCCAATTGTAATCGAAAGATTAAATAAATGTTTTACATTTTGCATAGATCCTTAAGTTTTTATGGTACTAGATCTCTCTCCTTGTCCTATATGTACGTTTGCATGTTCACTGTTTTTTTGGGGTTATCTTTCACATATGATCTTCTGTCAAACAACATCTAGGATGATTATCCTAAATTCAACTAGTGAATACCTAAACATAATAATCAACATGTAATACCAAATTTATTAATAAGACAGATTTATAGTATCAGTTTGCCAGATCATCAAGGGACATTCATCATACAAATTTTACTTTTCCTATCTTATCGGCATGATGCTTTGCTCTCCTTTTCTTCTCTCTCATCTTGTCTCATAACTGATTGTATCCATCTCATCTAGATCCTTCCTTAACTGATTGTATCCATCTCATCTTGTCTCATAACTGATTGTATCCATCTCATCTTATCAGCTAATTCTTTGCTCATAACTGATTGTTTTCCATTCTTCTATCTCTCATCTTCTTTGCGCTCTCTACTGACCCTTCCCTTCTCACAACATTCATTCTTTTTTCCCTCTCCTTAATCTTTTCCTTATTGTCAGTTCTCCCCCCCAGAGGGCTCTTCTTGTAAATTAGTACGATATGGATAAATTGCTATCCAAGGTCTTAAATATCAAATATCGAGAAAATATTGGACTGCCAGAATCCATTTTGGATTGCGAATATCAGGAAATATCAAGCATATGTAGTAAATATTGTAATGTCATTTCAAGTGATGTATAGATATAATATAATGTCCTAAAATGCAATCTAAACATACTTCATGAAATCTAAGCATACGGAAATATAAATAATATGTATTTTAGATCACTAACCAATTATAGAAACTTACTTAGGAAAAAGAGCCTATTAGAATTCTGCTAAAAAATCTTTACACTTTACAGGGCTAGAATTTTTGCTAAGAACATTAAAAAGGTTTTGGAAAACTATATCGTTTTGCGACATGCCATATAAAAGAATACATCGTCAACATGTTGGCTGACATATCAGCCATGTCAGGTATATATCACCCAGAAATTTCCAAAAAGCAAGAAAGAATGTTGAGACCATATTGTTTGTGGCGAGCCTTATAAAAAAAATATTGGCTGATATTCATTGGCTATGTCAGGGATATTTAAAGCAATGTGTGCTACCGACAATAATCTTCTAATTAGTTTTTTTTAATATATCTCATGGTACTCTAAACCTGTAGCCTGATCGAGATAACTCATTATGACACCTTTTAGTATCACGCATTATTAGCTGTCTGTCCTCTGATACCTTCATTTTAATCGTACGAGCAGCATCTTCATCCTTGTAATATATGATTTCTCAGACTTGTTTTGTTTTATCAGGAAGGAATGCAATATGCTCAAGAGAATGGCCTATTTTTCATTGAAACATCTGCTAAAACTGCACAGAATATCAATGAACTCTTTTATGAGATAGGTGGGTTTTCTCAAAGTATAATATCTTTTACCTTCAACCTTTAAGACATTGTTGCAGTATTCTAATCATCAAGTTTCTGAGTTCATCTACAGCAAAGAAGCTGGTTAGAGACCAACCTTCACGGTCTGCTGGGATGACTCTGTATGATGGATCACTCAGAAGCAGAAGATGGTTGTTTTGTTGTTCTGTGTAATGCACACAAGCAGTAGTTGTGACTTATATTTGCATTCGGTGCAGACCCCCCCTCAAGTTACAGTATCACAATTACTGCCAGGTGAATCTCGTAGATCCTTGGTTCTGCATGCGCGCAACTGATCATTTTCTTTATGGAAGATATTTCATGTACGGATGTGAACTTCACATTTGATGCGCCTGTCATTACTGTACATATACCAATGCATTTAACCTCACTCCAAAGTACTGACACAATCACTATGGCAATGGAGTTATATTTATGTTCTTAACCTGCTTGTGTGGAAGTCTTTATACGGTGCGGTGCGAGGAATCGACGGGAAGAGATGCCGTCAAGCTGCTGTATTGCGTTATCGATGATATTGTAACAATCTTCTCACTGACAAGGAAAAACACTGCATTTCTTCTTTGACGAGCCCTCTGAAATCCGTAGTGCCACGTATGTTGAGGCTGTCAGACGTTTTACTTTGAATTAACGTCTAAAAATAACTTTTATGGACATCCGCTAATGTCTAAAATCACTGTTCTAATTGCTTGCAATTTCCAGCGAGTTTCCCTATCAACCTCGTGCTTTCTGTTTTTTTTAGTAACTTGCTTATGAACATTTAACCCTCCTATTAAGTATGCTTGTATTTGTTATCATGATGTTTGTTCAATATCATCAACTACTAAACTAAGTACTGTTTCCGTCATCTTTTCGACTTCCTTTTCTTTCATGTAAAAAATAGTTTGGGTATCTCAATGCTAAGGAACCTAATAGAGGAGCTTTTTCGGTGGCCCCTACATCTTCGACCGCACTTTTAACTCCGCTCGTGTATGAAGATGCCAGCTAGTAACCAAACTTCCGTCCGTCACGAAAAGGATCTGCTACTTCTCTGGTGGAAATTGGTAACGCTGCTGTTGTCATTGATGAACACCAGGAAAAAGATTTGACAGAAAATGGAGAATCGGTGTGAGGAGATGATGACGATGATGATGATAAAACGTGTGAAAGTAGCTCCCGCACTTCATAATTGGGGGTTCGTTCGGAAGAATCTCATCATGGCCCCTCCACCACAACATTCGCTTTCAAGAACCCTATCTCTTTCTTGTCTATATCTAACCTTCTCTTGTCTATATCGATAAGCTTCTCTTGTCTGTAATTGGATTGCGGCACGCATCCGCAACCTCTTCTTCTGCAGGCTCCATCCTCACTATTGGAGCTCCAATTCATCTCTAGCTAGCGGACCTGTGCTGCTCGGCAATGGGAAAATAAATAGAAAGTAGGAAAAAAAATTAAAATTGGAGAAAAGTATTGTTTCAAGTACTTTTCCATGATTCTATTTACAAATCTTTAGTGGCGTAGCCAGAAATTGAAGGTTGAGGTGACACTTTTGGTTTTTCTAGAAAAAAATAATACTAGGATAGTTATATCAATAATTGCATTTGATCTAATCTATTTAATATATACGAAAAAGATAAGATTGTAACTATTCAAAATTTACTTTTTCAAATCCTCTAACAACTCATTTCCCTTCCTAAAAAAATATCTACGTACAGAAGATTTGAAGTTAAAATCTTATGCTCTAACGGGGATGGGCGTAGGCCGGTTCAAATTGTATTTCGAATCGGCCTAGCTCGCCCTAGGTCAAGACCCGCCCAGCCCACAATGGGTCAGGCCTAATCTAGCCCATGATATATCAAGCTGTGAGCCGGATGGGGTTTTGCTCTAACCTGTAAATAAAAAAGTAGGCCCTGATAATGCCCGAATAGGCCCACGCCATGGTCGAACTGTTGCGCGCAGCGAAAATTTCAGCAGCACTTTGGCAGCACAATAAGAGAGTCAGGTCACAATAGGAATTCCTGTTTCACAAAGGAAATAAAAACTTTAAACAAAATATCTCAACAAAGTGGGATATCAGCTCTTCCTCTCATCAGTTCTAGGACTGACATGTCGAGGGAACCTAAATAAGCTATTACAAACCACACAACCAGCGAGATAAACTAATTTTACGTGGTTCAGCAAATAGCCTATGTCCACGGGGCAAGGAGGGGGGAGATCTACTATTTGAGAAAAGAGAATACAAATTGGGTTTACAATCTCACAATTTAAACCCCACACAAACTCTCAACTCTCACACAAAGGGGATGCCAAAACCCTCTCAAAATCAGCGCTATTCTTCACCAAGCACAGCCACTTTTCCCTTATGTACTTGCTCCCAGCTGAAAAAAAT